CAACATATTCGATTACCCTGTGTGCTGAAGGTGACTTAACTAAACATATTCTATCGCCGTCTATGCTGAAAGAGAGTTATTGATCCATGAGGCCTTTTTTCAGAACCCAGTGGAAGTAATGCATTTAGACAGGAAGTAAACATTCCCATGTGTGCCAACTGTGCTCTCCTGTTCTGTTTCTTTATGCATATATCGCAATATCGCAATATCGCAATATCTGTTCGGATTGGCAAAGTCAAAACAGGGTAACTTGACCAAGAATTCATTCATAAACAATAAACAATAAACATCAAAAAGACAAATCCCTTTCAATCATTTACCCACCTTAACTACAGTGAGTGAGTTTAAATTTAACGTCACATCGGCAATATTTCAGCCATAAATTTAGATTAGATATAAATCTGTCATCGATGGACAGTAAAAAAATAGAATATCACAGATTAATATAAAACTAGCATACAATCATAAAAAAATATCACTAAATGTAACAATACATAATAAAAAAGGGTTTTAGCTCGCCAACAACTGAAGGTAGATCACCATGCTAACCTTAACTATATACAGTAAACTACGGTTATAACGAACTCAAAGGGACCACGAATTTTAGTTCGTTATAACCGTAGTTCGTTATAAGCATACATACAGCATAACTACAGCAAATAGTCGGGACAAAAAAGTAAGTTCGTTATATCCGTCAGTTCGTTATAAGCGTGTTCGTTATAAACGTAGTTTACTGTAGTTCACAAAGGAGACCAGTGAGGCAGCCTCATCTGTTTCATATTTAGATCTGTTCACAAAACTTTAAAGTGACAGAACACTCTCCACATGACTTCAAGTTAACCTTCCCTCAATGTCGAGCAATTTTGCTGCACCCCCAGCCCTTGGTGGCTACATTTTACAACTTTGGAGGTAGAAAGAGCATCAAAAGACTCTTGCTCAGAAGCTTTATGGTAGATACGCGGAGAACACTTCCAAAGTGACACAACTGATGGCCCGGCACAATTTCCCTATTTGGACTTGTGCCATGTGTTCCCGTTTATTTTTTCAGGTGAACTGTTGACTTGACTTTGCATGTGTTGGTGATGGGTGTCACCGGTGGGAAACCAGTGGTATACGCTCGCCTCTTCGCACACACCTATATGATAGTGATTCATAAACACATGCCCCTAATATTGTCGGAATCGTTCTTATGAATATTGAAGGGGTTTGTCGCTTTTATTTACCTTCAGCGTAGAGGGCCATACAATAGTAGAATAACTCATCTTCAGCACAGAGAGTCGTCGAATATGTTGAGTAGTGAGTGAGTTGTGTTTCACGCCGCTTTTAACAGTATTCCAGTATTATCACGGCGTGTCAGCTTAATGTGGGAGGAAAGCCCGAAGTGATGCAGGTCTCAGACGTTTACCACTTTGTTGAAACCCACGAGCACGGGTATGGTGCTGACAAACCTAGAAACATAATCGGGGCGACATGGGATTCAAACCCACAATCATAGGTTTCTGGCGTGCCCAAGGGACGCAACTCTGCACAGCGAATCGCGGCGCCTTAGACGACTTGGCCACCCGTGCCCCCAATATGTTGAGTAACTCACCTTCAGCACAGAAGGTGCCTTGGCTCTGCAGCAAGTCTTGAAGGCGTGGCCGACACTGCTGTGCACACTGTCGTTCACGTAGTATTCATACGTTTCGTCAGGGTTGCCGTCAGGACCAGCTGAGTAAGACAATTATAATGTAGTGAAAGCAGTGATAGCAGGATTTAAGATGAGGGCTTGTAAAAATAACATGGCCTCACAGCACCCCAAGCTGGAAATAATAAGTACCACTGTCACATTAACGTCTCGCCTCTGATTCAAAATGTATAGGTTTTGGATTCGAAATTTTAATAAAGGTTGGTTATCTTAACAACATAATGAAAGCAGTAACAAATTATCCACATTCTACTCTTTTTACAAGATTGCCGAATTTAGGGATCAATCCACTTATGTTTGCTTCAAGCTGAACAATTGTCTGTATTATTAAGGTACTTACATGTACATTACTTCTATATAAAAGAAAAAATCATCTAGCGCAGATTCGGGTGGTGGATAGCCCAGCGGTCAAAGCATTTGTTGGTCACGCCGAATTTCTGGGTTCGAATCCACACAAACTCCTTTTGACATCCTTCGTAGAGATTTTGTTGGAAAATTCCTGAACAATACTCATTCACTCATTCACTCGAAAACAGATACGCTGTAATCATTAGTCTAACGGACCTTACATAGAGGAAATTAAGCATGTTTGGAAAACGCCAATATTATGACGTCTTCGTGTTCTACAGACCAGAAGTCCCAGAATAGTAACACGGTAAACATGACGTCACAGCTGTGTTCAAGTGACTGACTTTCACAATTAATATTCTCTCAATCATCGTTCTTTGGGTTTTCTGTCTAAAATATGTGCACACGTGGGACAAAATTATGTTCATTTTTTTACATTGGGCACTAGATTGGCATAATGTAAGCTTCAGGTATATCGGTGATCTGATAACTTTCAGATTTGGTAAAAAGTCCAACTCCCTTCCACTGATTTACCCACCTGAACTAGAAATGCAGGATACCAAAGAAACCTTCATATTTAGATTTATGCCCCCAAATTCAGACGAAAATATCAACAAGACTTTATGTCAAAAGGGATGATTTCAACTTTCAAATAGTCAACTTTACCGGGTTTTTTCCCGTGTGTTCCAGCCAACCTTTGGTGTCTACATTTCACAATCGAGGTACAATCGAGCATCCCCTTTCCACCAAGATTTCAAAGGACGTCATACGACGCTTGCTAAAAACTTGTTTGAACATGTATCGTAGTGTTATATGTTGATTCCAAAGTTAAAACGCAGAGGCTAACACGGGAATCGGTACGTAAAGAACTAAATTATGAGATCAGTTAATGACCACACAAGATCAATTAACAATCAATACATTATACTGAAACATACAGGATTAGATTCACAACCATACAAGGCAATACAATGGATCAAATATATGGCAACTAAATACGTAACAGGCCCTTGTACATAAGTCGGATGTCAGGAATGATGTAGTTTATCTCGGGAGTGACTGTGAAGACTACTACCGAGCGCTCAAGATTTTATGAGGGCCTCATTCACTTGCTGCCACTGACACTATTCACAACCTTAAGTGCCTTTTGAGTGAGTGAGTGAGTGAGTTGGGTTTAACGCCGCTTTTAACAGTATTCCAGTTATATCGCGGCGTGTCAGCTTAATGTGGGAGGAAAGCCCGAAGTGATGCAGGTCTCAGACGTTTACCACTTCGGTGAAACCCACGAGCACGGGTATGGTGCTGACAAACCTAGAAACATAATTGGGGCGAACTGGGATTCGAACCCACAATCATAGGTTTCTGGCGTGCCCAAGGGACGCAACTCTGCACAGCGAATCGCGGCGCCTAAGACGACTGGGCCACCCGTGCCCCCAAGTGCCTTTTGAAATGAGAGGTAAGTACTCCTTCCTAACAGCAACAGACTTTGATAGCATAGAGCCGCCCCCCTGAGATGTCATGCCGCAGTTCAGTGACTTGGTTGAAGGCGTCAGTCGTTGCTTATCTTAAGTCACGGAATTGTCTGGTCCACACTCGATAATGTAGAGGGCGCCGTCATATAACTGGTATATTCCTGAGTGCGGCGTTAAACATAGTCCTGCACCATGACCGTGGAATATATTCATTTTATGAAAAAATAATAATCTAGAAATGCATACAAAAGCAAATCTAGCCAGCTCAAGCTAGCTCTATTCCTCTGAAATCAGCATAGGGATTTTTTTATTTTTAGAGTCAAGAAGGATATTGTGTAATATAAGATTTCAGAGACTAAATGTTAGTCTACGTTAAACAGCAAACACCTTGTATTACAGACACTAGTAACGCCATTAACTCCTCCAAGGGCAATGACTTTTCACCCACGATTAGGAAGTCAAACTTTGCACATGTCGTGTTGCTGGACCTAGGGGAAACCTAAAGAATCATTCAGCTTGAAAAAAGGGCGGCCATTTTGGATTTTGCGCGTGGTCAACGCATTTTCTTGAACACGTAATCCAAGGAAACTCTCGATGCAAAGAAATCTTCACGGGCCTGAATCACAATCAAATGGAAACCAGGTGTTCGCTAAATGGTGAGCGAATCCTGCCCACCTATGGCACCAGCCACAAACACATGCAAAGGCAAATCAATTGTTCACCCGGAAATACACGGAAACATATGGTACTATTCAAAATAGGAAATTGCATGAGATATTATTTTCCTTACTGATGAGTCAAATTTGGAAATGGCCTCCACATGTCTACCATAAAACTATTTAAAGCTTTACTGAGGCCCTGAATGTTGTAACCTTGATCAAACAACTTCTGAGCAAGAGTCTTATGATGTTCTTTAAAATCTTGGTAGAATGAGCACGCAAACACACACACACACACACACACACACACACACACACACACACACACACACACACACACACACACACACACACACACACACACACACATCCGCTCACCTTTAAGCGAACACCATCAGAAGTTGATAGTGATTCCTAAATAATTTTACGGAATCGTATAATGGAGTCATGGAGATATCTTCTGATATGGAAAGGGTTACATCGCTTGTGATAACACACAATGGCGATACATGTGTTCTTCAGTAAAGAGTGACTGTGAAAGGTAACCAATACGATTCCGACAATATCGTAAGCATGTGGATATGGGTGTCTTCCCAACGTGTCCCTTTGTGCGTACATTAAATCATTAAATGATGGTCAGAAAGTGATGCACGAGTGAACATGACTGTTACCTGTTTCACCTGTTACATCATATAAACTCGTCCATACTGAGGCAACGAAACAATGTTGGTACAATGGGAAACTCTTGTGAAAAGAAATAAAAACCATAACACATAAGTCACGGATATATGATATTTATGATATAACACGAAGAAATATATAACAATAGTAGGGGAAATACTTTTACATTTAATCAATTTACCATAGGCAAATCATAGAAATTCATTGCAATCACCAACAGCATGTAGTATGTTTTGACCAGTAGTGTATACAAGCACACGTATTCCATCTTTTATGCTATGCGCATTATAGTCCACGACATGCACCAGCTGTGAAGCTTAGGATTGCTTGACCGCCTGGTCCGAGAGTACAGGTCAAAGGTGAGGAGACACCGTCCACATTGAACCAGAACTTGACAGTTTCGCGGGAAGCTCCAGTGAGACTGATGGTGATGTCGTCTGCAACGTTAATGTCCGTCACTCTCTGCGGCGACATCGGCACCCATTTGTCCAACTCACCCTGGATCAGCACTTGTTTGCTGTAGGGAGAGAAAGTCATATCAACAGAAATAAAGAGAATTTCGGAACTGTTTGAGAGACAACCATTGTTTAACGTCAGGAATATTCCTCCGATGATATCAAGGAACTGTTTGAGTGATTCCTTTAGTTCAACGTCAGGAATATTCCTCCGATGATATCAAGGAACTGTTTGAGTGATTCCTGTAGTTTAACGTCAGGAATATTCCGGCCATGATATCACGGAACTGTTTGAGAGACAACCATTGTTTAACGCCAGGAATATTCCGACCATGATATCAAGGAGCCGTTTGAGTGATTCCTGTAGTTTAACGTCAGGAATATTCCGGCTATGATATCACAGAACTGTTTGAGTGATTCCTGTAGTTTAACGTCGGCAGTATTCCGGCTATGATATCAACGGAACTGTTTAAGAGACAACCATTGTTTAACGTCAGGAATATTCCTCCGATGATATCAAGGAACTGTTTGAGTGATTCCTGTAGTTCAACGTCAGGAATATTCCGGCCATGATATCACGGAACTGTTTGAGAGACAACCATTGTTTAACGCAAGGAATATTCCGACCATGATATCAAGGAGCTGTTTGAGTGATTTCTGTAGTTTAACGTCAGGAATATTCCGGCTATGATATCACAGAACTGTTTGAGTGATTCCTGTAGTTTAACGTCGGCAGTATTCCGGCTATGATATCAACGGAACTGTTTAAGAGACAACCATTGTTTAACGTCAGGAATATTCCGGCTATGATATCAAGGAGCTGTTTGAGTGATTCCTGTAGTTTAACGTCAGGAATATTCCGGCTATGATATCACAGAACTGTTTGAGTGATTCCTGTAGTTTAACGTCAGGAATATTCCGGCTATGATATCACAGAACTGTTTGAGTGATTCCTGTAGTTTAACGTCAGCAATACTCTGACTATGATATCACGCAAATGTTTGTGTGAACAATGTTGCTTAACGTCATCAATATGCCTCTCGGGCTTCATGAAGCTATTGGGATGTGTAATGTTGTTTAACGCGAGCAATATCCTGTCGTTACACACGTACCCATTTATCTTCAGTACCGGGGATACATAGAAGAGATGAAAGTCCTTACAGGTGCAGCCACTCATAGTCAGGGGCTGGGGATCAGTCAGAGGTTGGATCTTGCTGGGGTCATTAGCCGGGAATACCATCGAAAGGGGAAACTGCAAGTATGACAGTGACAGTGTTCAATCGTAAAGGGGCACTACAATCCTTGCAAGGTTATTTCAGTCGCGCAACACCACTTTTGTTGTCTGCTAGCTCACATCTGATTATGTTTAACAATCTGACAGTGAATGATCAGCCTTTTAACACGGAGACAGTGTCTCAGTTGCACACAAGGCACTATCGGCAACGTCCAGACTGAAAAGCGCAACGGACCGTACCGTATGGTCCATCTTCAAATACTATCATTTGGATTCAACAGGTACACGTAATAATATCCGAAGTTGACTTCACTTCACTTTATTCAGTACTTGAAGGCCACGGGCATTTTTGTACAGACTAAATACAATTTAGTTGCAATCAGTATGAGATATAATACATCTCTTTGGGTTTTTTAACAAAAGCAGTTTTAACATAATTGCATATTATTAATGTTGGATTATTTGTGTTCTTTCAGCATTGGCATAAAACAAGTACTTGCTGTATTCATATTGATAATAGGGTCATGCGATGACAACTTCAGAATATTTGGAAAGATGTAAAAATGAGATTCTATGTAACTTTGCCTCAGATGGCTCTAAGTTGGACAAATTAACAAAAAGTGATATTCATTTTCGATATGGTTTAAGTTACAAAAAAATTTACATTTCCTCAATTCACGAGGAATATTTATAATGTCGTCCACGTTCAATTAGTAAGTTGTGAGAACTAAGCCTTAAACGAGTCAATGTTGTTCCGAACTTATTTACAGTAATAATACTCAAACAGTTCAGGCATAAAATGGATGTTTTAAACTGTATATGATAAGCCATTTTGGGGCTTTCAGATTAATCACTTTGCCAAACCTGAAACAAGTTGTCTCTTAACCGTTGACGTAACACATTACAAAATACGGTTTTATTACCACATGCTTGAAAGAACCAGACATCACCAAATCCTAATCTAAAAATAACAGTTTTAAGTTTCGTTACCCAATTTACGTGGCCTTGTTCATCTTACAAGCGCAACATATTATAACATTTTGGGGGTAAACGGGATTCCTGCATATTGAAAAGAGACAGCCAATAATATTTGACACATTTCAAAACTGCAAGCGACTGAATAGAGTATCTATCACACTCGCCTAACACCCCATTATTTGAAGTTGATAACTTTACATTTAAAAGACGCTTACAGGCATACAAGTGAACTTTTTCTAGGGGTTCTATGTCACTGAACCCCCAAATTTCGGCCCCGTATAAAAGTATAGGTGTTATCTTTGCATCAAATAATTTGAAGTAAAAGTGAGGCGAGTATGGTTTCAAGGAATGTATACCACTTAAAAGGTCCATGAACAACTTCTTGCCTGAATGGCAATTTTACTTAAAGCTTTCGACCACAGTAATCTATTGTTTAAATACAAGCCAAGATAACGGTATCCAGTGACTACTTCAACCGCATTTCCATCATAATACCATTCTTCATAACGTGATAAACCTCCCCCATTTTAAAAAGACAGCTATTTTTTGATAGATTCACTGACATTTCCCATTTACAACAGTAATTTTGCAAGATATTTAAGTTGACATACTGTATATATTAAGAATAACTGTAGTTCAAGCTGTATTTTGACCAGGTAAAATCAAGTCACAATGACTCCCCAACCTCCATTTCAGTGCGCTCTGAAGATAATCAAGGGATACTGAGCTGAAATCTGAGAAAAACAGTATCCGTATGAGATACTTTTCTTCAATCCAGAACAAAAGGCAGAAATGCTGATAATGTTTCTTTGAAGCCTTACCCCTTGGAATCCAGCCATGCATGGCGTCATGGTGTAGCTTCCCTGTAGCTCAGCGGCAAGGATGATGCCGTACTTGTTCTTGCCCCCAAAATCTGAATACGTGGACCACACCTCCCCGTCTGGACCCTCAAAGTCTGGCCAAGCCCACTGGGAAAACAAGCTTTGCGCATGAGACAATATAAAGTGCATTTCTTACCATTTCCTAAAGTTAAAGTATATACTTTAGTAAAACGAATTTCTCTGGATATTACCGATCCGAGGTAAATTGGGTTTCCAGCTATATCATGAACTAGAGTAAATCCATCCTTAAACATGTACAAAACATTCAATTGGGGTTAACCTACTCTAAATGCAACAAATGTACGTAACCAAACGTATTCGAGCAATTAACTGTATTAATAATGATGCTTGACGATCAAAGTCCTGCAAAAGCTTACAACATGTTACTTTGCTTGGACAATAGTGGCTGTCAGACCTGGACCACCCATGCATATGTTTGATGGTGGATATAAATGAAACAAACAAGAAAAGCTATTCGATGCTGATACAGGTTTGCAGTGTTTCGACTGTTTTCAGCCTTGTAACTTTGGACTAATACAAGTTTCAAGCGTATTCATTCTTTTGCCTGGCAGTTTATTTTTCAAACTTGGGAAGCTACACAAAACACCACATAAATGTAAATTTTTAGAGAGAAAATAAACTTTTGTAGGAGCCAGGGACATAAACTGAAGAGCATATCCTTGACATCTTTGAAAAGCAATATATGTGCTTTTTTGCACAAATTTACAACACTTCATATGGTTGGCGTCATTTGGTTGCAAATTCAATTCTTAACCCAGTTTTCATTGAACCAATTTATATGTACATATTACCTAGCCACAGATTTCTTTGTACAAAATGTGGTAGGAATGAGTGATGGTTAAATAGATATAATCATAATCAACAGTTCTTCAATTTTCAATTTCATACAAAGCACCTCGGTATATTTTATGTAGCCCTTCAGTTTATTTAACAGTTATGAATGAAAAGGAGTTTCGCAATATACTAATACAGTTCACTGTCGGTCTTCTTAGATTAATGTTAAAATGAAAATAGATGGTTCGCAAGTGCTTTTTTTCTTAAGAATATGTACAATTCGTAAATATGAAAAAGAGGATCAATATCATTTTGTGATTCTTAGTCCTGCGTAAAACGAAATAAGGATACGGTATATTCCAAGTATGTCAAAAGTTAAACAGATTATTATCTGTAAATAGTGATTTAATAACAAGGTTATCTAGGTAGTTATATAATGTGTATAACACACGGTGTCAGTTTGTAAAAATGTCAGCTGATTGTACATGCTGACATTACCCAAATGTACACTTGTATATGGGCGGGAGGCCTTCATACAATAAATATTCCTTGACTTTTTTACTTTGAGTCATGCCCTTTTTATCATCCAAAACTGGCTCCCACAGGAGATATCGCTTGGATGAGTTCAAGCGATATCTACACTGTAGATATCGCTGCAATGAAATTACATCACAATGCTTTGCAGACCATTGTGATGTCACTGGTTACCATGACGTCACAATCAAATGACATCACTAATGGCTCTGCTACTGAAGCTGTTTGCAGTACTTTTTACACTGAAGACACTGCTAATTACTGTCTACAAATTAAAAAAGTTGAAAGAATGATGTTGGATGATAAATAAAATCTCACCCTCGTGTCTTTTGATATCAAATATATCAACACTCGTTGATAAAAGTGGCAAAAATCCTCGGCAAGCCTCGGAATTTTTCCCTTTTTATCAACTCGTGTTGATATATTTGATATCAAAAGACACTCGGGTGAGATTCTCTATGTATGTGTAGACGCTCTAATAGAAACGGCCGGCAAAGTGAGGTTTCCGGTCTAAAGTGAGTGAGTGAGTGAGTTAATGCTTTACGTCACATCGGCAATATTTCAGCCATATCGTGACGAGAAGTTATACATGAAATATACATATATTTAAACTTTATAAAAATCTGTCAACAAAGGACAGTATGATAACTTGAATATCACAGATAAGATTTAAAACTAGTTGTGGAACATTTAAAAGCATTACGTATTAAGGAACAACACAATATAAAAATGGGCTAGAGATCGTCAGTATCCGGTCTAAAGGGGTTTCAGTGTATATAGTATAAGGAGGTACCTTGCGTATCATGTTATCGATGGCCGTCACAGGTCGTGATGGTTTTAAGATGAGGCCGTCAGCATTAACACATCTGTTGACAAAAGTTTGAAAAGAAGCAATGCATATGCGGACTGATAACTTTGATGATATTTGTTTAGTTCATCTTGACAAAACATTTTGTCTCATCAAAAGGTTTGTTTTCATTGGAGCCGGAAACACATTTCGTGATAACTGTCAACAATATGCATGATTATTAACAACATATTCATGATTATTATCTACATACACAACGATGATTGTGAACATATTTTATATGTGTTGTCACGCTATTGTTAATATACCTCACGTTGACTGTCAACATGGTATATTTATTGTCAGCAAACTTAATGCTTAAAGAACAACAATTCACGAGGATTTTCAAAAAACTCAATATACTTCACGATCATTGTCAACATAATTCATAAAGGTTTTCAACATACTTATTGCTTATAATCCACATACTCAATGATTATATTGTCAACATATGTAATGGTTATTGCCAAAATACTTCACGAGAATTCTTAACATATTTAATGCTTATGATCAAAATAATTCGGAATGATTTAAACATTTTTGACAAAATATTTCACAATGATTTTAAAACTCATACTACACGGGGATTGCCAACCTTCTTTAATACTTATTATCCACATACGTCACTACATAATTAATTCTACTGTCGACATACTACATACCTATTATTAACGTACTTTATACTAAGTGTTAAAATACTTAGTGATGATTGTCAACATACTTAATGGTAATTGTTACATCCTTCACGGTGATTCTTAACACATTTGATGAATATTGTCAACATACTGCATAATAACTGCCAACCTTAATGATATTTCTCAAACTTCTTCAAGAGAATTGTAGGGGCAGTCGGGTAGCCTAGTGTTTAAAGCGTTAACTCGTCACGCCGAAGACCCGGGTTCGATTCCCGACATGGGTACAATGTGTGAAGCCCATTTCTGGTGTCCCCCGCCGTGATATTGCTGGAATATTGCTAAAAGCGGCGTAAAACCATACTCACTCACTCACTCAAGAAGACTGTCAACCTACTTAATCCTTGTTTCGACATGCGGCATACTCATTGTCAACTTTCTTTTATGGTGATTGTTACAATACTTCACGATAATTGTCAATATACATCATAGGTAATGGTGCTAATTGTTACATCTTTCACGTTGATTCTTTACTTACTTACTGAATATTTTCAACGTACTGCAATATAATTGCCAACCTTAATGCTATTTCTCAAACTACTTCAAGAGGATTGTCAACATACTTAATGCTTGTTTCGATATACGGCATATTAAGGGTCAACATACATCACGGTAATTATTAACATACATCATTAGTACTGGCAACATATTTAATGCTTATTGTCAAAATACTTCACGAGGATTCTCAACATATTTAATGTTGATGATCAACATACTTACTGCTTATTGTCAACAAATTTAATGTTTGCTGTCAACAAACCTCGTGATGATTGTCAACACACTTCACGATGATTGTCAACATACAGCATAAGTATTGCCAACCTTAATGATATTTTGCCAAAACTATTTTACAATGATTGTACCGTCAACAAAATAAATGTCAGCTACTTCAACCAAAAGACGTTAAAATATGGTACTTGTTGTTACCCTGTCTTGCGCTCGGCATAAAGGGGTTAAAACAAGGACTGGTCGGCTCGGAGTCAGTATACTGTGTCTGAGTGGGGTATTCATGTTAAACTGCGGCATGGTATCTCAGTGAGCTATCACTATAAATCGGCATCAGTCCGTGCTAGTACAAGCAGACACACACACACACGTGCATGCACGTCGCTATATAAGTGCAATAATCTTGGACGCGACGTTAAACCCCATGTCACCTCACCTCAGCTACTTCACGAGATTGTCAACCTATTTCGTGATGATTGTCAACCTACTTCGTGATGATTGTCAACCTACTTCATGACGAGCGTCTTGTTCGTGCCCCCAACCATGTCACTGATTCCTACTGGACCCGTACTCAGGGTTGCCACCAGAGCGTTCAGGGACGTGCACGGCTCCGTTCTATTGCCTAAAAGACGTCAACCAAAGACGTCAAACAAATCTTTATTAATCAAGCACAGAATACATTATGTGTTTAACATAAAACAACCACTTTGAAAATTACAAAACCATGACACCAATCCCATAACAGTTGCATGGTGAAGATGAAGTTTTGCAAACCATTGCTGTATATCGACCCTGTTTCTCTACATACCGTATTTACTTCCGGGTTGAACGCCGGTTGTCCAGAAGTTGTCCTTGGAAGGTGCAATACCGAGGGCATAGGCAAATATTGACGAGATCCCCAGTTTCCAGTTGGCGGTGCCCGGTGTATAGTCGCCACTAACGCGGGCCTGGAACAAACATTACCCATAAATAATTGGCTGAAATTGGCGAGGGGTCGTTATATCACTTAAACTTAAATACTTCACATCCCTCATAGTAAGGATATATTGTTTGGTTGCTTAGGCCACATGAAAACATTCTTGTTTCTAACCACTTTTCAGAAATAAGTAACGGTAGATTGATCTTTTTTCATTTTTTATTCAACCCGAATTCACAAATGGACAAATAGAAAACATGATATAGAAGAGAAAGTAGGATTATGTGGCCTAATCGAAAAATAAGTTAAATCACGAACGCCACTACTGGTCGTCATGACGGGTTACATAAAAAGTGCAACTTCGGAATAGAACCTTGACCGAATAGTGCATGTAGAAATGCATCGATGCTTTGGTGATTAGAAATATGGCAAATTACACTTTTGAGTTCATGTTAGGCCGACCCGTGAAGATCCGGGGTAGAACAGGTCTTCAGCAACCCATACTTGTGGTAAAAGGCGACTTTGCTTGTCGTGAGAGGCGACTAACGGGATCGCCAAGTCAGGCTCGCTGACTTGGTAGATGCATGTCATCGTGTCCCAATTGCGTGGATCGATGCTCATGATGTCAATCACTGGATTGTCTGGTCCAGACTCGATTATTTACATACCGCCGACATATAGCTTGAATATTGCTGAGTGCGACGTTTAACAACAAACAAACAAAACCATGTTAGACCAACTCAAATGTTTAATTATTTGTTGATTTTATCATTGTTTTCAAAGTAAGGAGCTGGTGGGCGAATGTTTTTTAATTCAGAAGACAACAAATTCCGCGTGAACAGACAGGGATCAAACTTAATTATGGATTTTCTATGCATAATCTTCCAAATGTGATAAAGCGATTTACTTCTGTTAATGTCGGTTTAGAGGTAAAAGCCTTCATGTGTCCGCCGAAGGCCCAGTTCTGCACATGGGTACAATGTGTGAAGCCAATTTTATGTTTCTCCCGCCGTGAAACAGGTGGCAATATTGCTAAAGCGGTGTAAAACCATATTCTCTGGCTGTACCTGTGTGACGACTGGTATCTCCAGCGACTGCATCGCGTGACGAGGCAGCGCCATACAGTACTGGACCGTCAGGCCGTTCTTTGCGGCGCCATTCCCCATCTGATGCAGCCATTGTCGGGCCAGGTCGATATCGCTCCACAGTTTACGAACATGTTCAAATTCAATATCGAGGAAATCCTAGAAAACAATTAAACATATATTTTACATGGTGTTACTTTACATGGTTAGTTAAATACATTTGACAAACAAACAGAACCGTATTTAGGCCATTGTTTACATGGCAAGCCGTGTTTGGGCGCCCCTCGCCCATTAAAAGTGAACTTTCTGACATTTTGTGGTATTTTAATTCATACATTCCAGTTTGTTGTTCCATAATTTGAGAGCTGAGTTAACTTGAGTTAATATTATAAGTTCTCGTGACACTAATTCTGTTGGCTTATTTGCCGTGAAGAGTATACACATTAATGTAAAAGAGAGGTCTTGCCTGTTCATAGACTAACAAACCCCATTTCCTTGAATCCGCGAGCAAATCAGTCCAAAATCTCTGAAATGTAATGGAAAACAGTAATGTATGTATTGAGAATAAATAATAAGGCATTTTACGAAATATTAGCTTAAATCAAAGAACACACACATGTAGGTAGTCGAAAATCGGCCGAAAAATAATTCATTTGTTTTCAATCATATTATTGTAGCACTGTCTTGTAAACCAACTAACTCGTTATATAAACGTGTTCTGAATTCATAGCCATAGAAGTTATGAGTGATATATTTTCTCCAATTATAATTATTGCAATTATACCAAACAAGAGTCACAATCGCATTAATACAAATAAGCCAAGATTCGCAGATCTGATGGGGATTGAAGGTAGATAATAAGTAACCAGTAATAATGATCTTGTGTCGAGTTATCCGAAGTTCGACACAAGCGAAGTGCCATTATTGTATCCGATAAATATTATGTCGGGACCATTTCACTGTAAATCTGCATGGACATGACAACAATAATGCATATCATAGGCGATTCCGGTTTGGAATGGAATTGGTCCCCAGCAATCTATGTCTGTTGTGAGGGGCGATCGGGTGGCTCGGTTCCTTTGTTAATGGCGTCAGCTTATCTTCCGTCACTGGTTGGTCTGGTCCAGATTCGATTGTTTACAGGCTGCCGTCATATAGCCGGTATATTGCTAAACGCGGAGTTAAACGGCAAACACTCATTATTAAAGACACCAGTAGAGCCAGTACCTCTTCCAAGGGCAATGACTTTTCACCATCTATCAGGAAGTCGTACTTCCCTCCATTAGCCTTTGCATATGTTGTGTTGCTGGACCTAGGGGAAATGCAAGGAATCCTTAAGTTACATGCGAGATGAAATGGGATTTACCGTCGCATCCACGTCTTTTATATAGTGACCTGCATGCACATGCGGATGTGTGGCTGCTTGTACCTCGCCGGACTTATGCCGGTTTTATGGAGCTAGCCCACTGAGATACCATGCCGCAGTTTAACATGGATGCCCCACTGAGACAGTATGCTGACTCTGAGCCAATTCACGATTGTGTTATTCCCTTAATGCTGTGCGCCAGGCAGGGTAGCAACAAGTACCATCATTTAACGTCTTTGGTCTGATCCGGCAAGGAAATGAACCACCAACCTCCCGAGCTCCGGACAGACGGTCTATCTTACCACACCACGTCTTCAAGAACACGTTTGCATGTGTAAACACAAGCAAGCGAATGTAACAAGAGAACTCTCTTTTTAAAAAAGTTAAATCCCAAAAGCATTTTCAACATTATTAAACCTCGTTGGGAAGAATAAGTCACCAGTACCCCTAGATTGTAAGAGCCGAGGATGACAAGACTGATGTGTGTCATTGTGCCCCGATTGAGCGGATCGTTGGTCACGTTACAAACCAGCGGTTCCAAAGTCCACACTCGATTATTGTCCATGATATGTTTAGCTGGCTTTTAAATCGTGCTTGTTATCCGAGATCCAGATCGACGACATGGCCGCAAGATCTGGGTCAAGGTTGAGGGACTATACTTTCCAATATTTGGAAATTAGCAAGTGATAATATATTTATACATTACTTCAAAGGTTGTTGGTTGGTTGGTTGGTTGTTTAACGCCGAACTCAGCTATATTCCAGCTATATGACAGCGGTCTGTAAATAATCGAGTCTGGACCAGACAATCCAGTGATTGATATCATAAACATCGATCCACGAAATTTGGATCGATGACCGTGCATCAACCAAGTCAGCGAGCCTGACCACCCGATCCCGTTAGTCGCCTTTTACGACAAGCATAATCGCCTTTTACGGCAAGCATGGGTTGCTGAAGACCTATTCTACCCCGGATCTTCACGGGTCTACTTCAAAGGACTTTCTAATAGTCTCTATATGCATTAGAGGGCATGGGTGACCCTGTTATCTGTGGCGCCGCAATTCGCTGTGCAGAGTTGCGTCCCTTGAAACCTATTATCGTAGGTTCGAATCCTAGATCGCCGATGAAGTTTCTTGTCAGCACCGTAACCGTGATAATGCTGTTCAAAGCGGCATGAAACTCAACTCAACCCTGTGATGTAACAGTACTGTATACATGATACTGGGTGCCGTTTCACGAAAGCCTCTTAGCGCTACGGCCTCCTAACCGCCATATCAGACGCTGACCTAGGATGTCGTAAGCTAGTTACAAGTGCCCGTAACCTATCGTAGGTGAGGAGGTTGTTTAAGGTGGGGTGTAAAGTTAGGAGGTCTTTGTGAAACGGCACAAATATTTAAGAGGTGCTTTATGGCGTGGTTTAGGAGGTCGTAGCGCTAAGAGGCTTTCGTGAAACGGTACCCTGTTCTGTAAAACATAATCCCAGCTTACCAGAACATGCTGTGGGCAATGACAGGAAGCTCCGTCTTGTTGTACAGCCACCTCGTGTCACGTGAGGAAGGGGTATAAGATTAGTAACATTGTTATACAAAGTTCTAACATCAACCATTATGTATATGCTAACAAAGGCCCTAAATGGGTTTATAATTAATAAATAATAGAATCTACGTATCACGTTATGTAATATGTATTATGAGCACCTAGGTCACACTTGGAAGGGGTATTAGACTAATAACATTGATATACAAAGTTCAACCACTGTGTATCTGCTGACAAAGGCACTTAATGGGTTGATTATGAATAAGGATAATAATAATAATAGAATCTACGTATCACGTTATGTTATGTATCATGAACACCTTGTGTCACAAGAGAAAGGGGTATTATATTAATAACATTTAACTTGATTAATTTAATATTCCTAACATCAACCATTACGCAGATGTTGACAAAGGCACTTAATGGGTGGATAATGAATAATGACAAAAATAATAATAGAATCTACGTATTACTTAATGTTAGGTATTATGAACAACTGAACATCTTACTGCATTCCATTGGGAAAGACGCTTGGTTGAGCTGCCCATGTGATAACACCATGGTTACTGTCGTCATAGTACCACCACTCGTCGTACTGGAAGTACCTACCAAATAGAAATAGTCAATGCAAGAGAACAACCAGGCTAGATTATCCACCGAAACAGGTTACATTTGGCGTAATCCAGCACAACACAACACCATGGTTACTGTCGTGATAGTACCACCACTCGTCGTACTGGAAGTACCTACCAAATAGAAATAGTCCATGCAAGAGAACAACCAGGCTAGATTATCCACCGAAACAGGTTCCATTTGGCGTAATCCAGCACAACACAACAACATGGTTACTGTCCCAGTAGTACTACCACTCGTCGTACTGAATGTACCTAGTAACACCAAAACATAGTGATTGACGAAATTTGAAGTCTTACAAATATTGTTACATGAATTTCATAACATTCTCGGACAATATTTAACATTAACATATTTTTCGCCAACCGACATCATTATTATAATGATCATGTAATAAAGAATTTGATGGATTTGATTTGACAAAACTACGCCTCAGGTTTGTATCTTTGCCATTTAGATAACCAGGCTGTTCAGTTGCATGCAGAAAGAAAACGCAATGGACAATTCATACATTGGAGTTGACAAAATGTCAATGACCATCATGAATGAGAGTACAAACCTGACGGGTACCCCGAGCTGTTTAATGTAGCTCGTGACATCCAGCACTGTATCCTGGTAGTTCTTCCCCTCCTCCGGGTGGTTGTAATAATATGCACCTGCACAAAAAACGTATTTCTCGTGTTAATTCAAGGTGATGTAGAATAAGGTCACTGTTGGGCTTTTTTTCAGTTGTGGTTGACATTATAATGATGGCATAAAGCTATATATAAATATATAAAATATACTACAAGTAGATAACTTTTAAGAAGTATCCCACCTCATTTGAGGTCCTCTGACGTCATCAAGGTCATGTGACTGTCAGTGCCTCATTAATATGCAGAATAACTCATTAATATGCAAGTGTATGCATGACGTCACAGGTCAATTAAGTTAATAAAGGGTCAACTGACCAGATGCAATCATGCAATTAATTACTTGACCATTCGTTAACCGTAGAGCACGGGATAGTAATGCATATCCCTATATGGAAACGTTACTACGACCAGGGTTGGGTTGGTTCTTGACTCACGCGTAATGGAATGTCATTGTGAGTACATTTTGGCGCGAGAACATTTGGTGAACATTTGAACCTTTTGCATTGAAGACATTTCTCTGTGCGCATTCGGTGGCGGGCTATGTGTGGTAGGATTAAGAAAAGCCCAGGAACAGGTTAATGTAGAAAGATCTCCCAATATTCAATTAGGTTAATAAAGGGTCAACTGACCGTATGCAATCATGCAATTAATTAATTGACCATACGTTAAACGTAGAACAACACGTGTCTAAAAACAAGATGGCGGACGTTGCCATGAAGGCTCACGGGCGTCATGTGTCCTCGGTCTGAATCTCGCGCCTGAACTACAAGTCAGTTCTATGGGACCCCATTCCACATCTTAGGCTAAGTTGATCCGTAAGTGCAATAACTCATTAATAGTCAAATATATGCATGAAGTCACAGGTCAGGAAGGGTAATGAGAGGTCTGTTGTTCCATTGCACGAATGAAATGTGTTAATGAGTCATTAATTAAGTGAGAACAAAGCGTAGTAATGAGTGTCCCTACATGGAAGTGGCTACTACGAGGTTCAAATGTCCACGAGAAAGCATAATCGCACATTGTAAGTTGGCCAGAGACATGTGTGTTTGTAATAATTCAAGATGAAAATTCAAATTAAAATCTTGAAATCTCTATATATACTCACCATTGTCGGTCCAGTACCCCAAGTAGTTGACAATGAAGTCAGACTTGACATACTCGTCCGTCCGACCGTACCATTTTTGTAAAATTTGTCCCCAGCTCACGAAAGCCTGCAAGTAGATCATCATAAATCATATGATATAAAAGGAAAAACGCTCTTAAACGAACAATCATATTTTGCAAGTAAAAACGTAGTATTTGAACGCATTAATACTAGTAATAATGCGAAGGAAAGTCGATTTCATAAGATCATAGACATGGGAATGAGTCTACTTTGGAATGGGTCATGTATTATAGGACGTGGTTTTTGATGCACTCATGGACTGAAAATAATCACTCTCCTCTAATGGATGACCCTCCTATTTCCTTGTACATTGTTAACATGACCCTCCCTGAAAAGACAAACTTCATATTTTATTCTAAAATGCCATATTTAAATTCGAGGACCCTCCCCAAATTTGTGGTTTATTTTTTATGACTCTCATCTAAGGCTATCATATTTTTGGTGACCCACTCTGATTTCCTCTAACACCTAACCGTGCATTAACTAACTGAATTGTTAGTTACACCTACTTTGCAGTTAAGGAACTTATTTTTTTCACTTTAATTTACCTTATGGTAGAACAATTATACGAAAACCGTGTGTCCCCAGCGGGGGAAATGGAAGAATCATGTGGAATTCAGATGACATATTTACGAACATCAAGACGAATAGTTCATTCGTTTATGAACGGGTATATTTAGGAGTTGGTCGTTTATTGTGATTTGATACCTCTGATTGACCAATCAAAATCGAGTATTTTCCAAATTCATGATACATTGCGTGTTATTCGGTCCTCGTACATGTAATTGGTAGCTTTTCGTTAAATGTTTAAGGTGCTGAGGTTCTTTGAAAGTTGGTAATGGTTTGAATAGGTTAGAACTTTTGGACTGTAACCATTTCAACGATTAGGCACCAGGTCCTCATGCACTGACCAAATACAGATTATACTATTTTTGATCTATTTTAGTCAAACTACGAATTTGAACAATTTGGGCATACAAACGCTCATGTCTCTTTTTTATTTTATTTTTTTGGGGGGGACTATCTTTGATAGTTGTTTAGCTGTCAGTGTAAACATGTAGTCGCACGTACCGAATGAAATTGTGCATACACTCTTCGAGGTACAAAATAGGGACATACAACTCCCACGTTCATACAGTTTGACCCTCACTCTGTGAAGGTTCCTACTCACGCAAAGTGATAATCACTTCATGTCAAGTGCCAAATAAGGGCAAGTTCACTTCCTTCCCTTGTACAATGAAACCTCTTTAACTCGAACTCCTATAACTCGATATGTCATTTTAGATGATTGGTTGGTTTGTTGTTTAACGCCGCACTCAGCAATATTCCAGCTTTATGACGGCAGTCTGGGAATAATCGAGTCTAGACCAGACATTCCAGTGATTAATATCATGAGCATCGATCCACACAATTGGCATCAATGACATGCATCAACCAAGTCAGCGAGCCTGACCACCCGATCCTGTTAGTCGCCTTTTACGTCAAGCATGGGTTGCTGAAGACCTATTCTACCCCGGAATCTTCACGGGTCTCATTTAAGATGATGTAACGTTGAACTCCCTACAACATTTTGTCAGGCGAGAGATATGGAGAGATACAAAAATCCCTATCAAAAGTGGAGTAGCATATTATAAAATAGGTAGGTTTCTCAGCATTAGATAACGGATACAGAAAGAATCGTTTGGGACGATCGAGTCGGAATTGACCATCGGGGATCTGGACAAGTTACTGTCATAATATATCAATTATGAAGTCATTCTTGGTTCAGATCGTTGAGACTGATTATAAAGGACAACTTGGAAGACATTGTTGAACTAAGATACCACGTCCGATCAGACGAGATTACTGACCTTGTGACGTAATGTATTCATGAGCACATTGTGAGAGATGAGGTTTCCTTTTTCGATGACAGAATTCGAGAATGACATAATATGATAAAGACGTTATCACTCCTGTGTTATGGGATGGTAAATATATATGGATATTAGATCTATGTATTTATTCCAAATAGAAGATACTTACGAGCCCTTAACTCACTCGCATGTCAGGTGGGGTAATCCTTGGAAAACTCAAAATGCCAAATAACTTTGAATCTGTTTCGTCGGATAATCTGGATGGTTATTGTTTAACGTTGACGTTTTATATTTTAACATTGTGAGTTCATTGGTTTACACAAGTTCCTACACACAAGTGACAGTCAGCTCTAAAATGCGTCACATTCAGAAGTACGGGTACCTTGTTAATGCCTTGGTTGCCACAGAAAAGAATAAAACTGTTTTCTACATCTACAGGGACATTCTCCACTCCCCCCATCGTCCCCCAGTAGACGTTGTCACCGCCGGTACTTGCGTCCTGGCGCCATATTGATGACGACATAAACTGACTTGCAGGGGAGACAATCAGCGTATTTGCTGTCTTCACTCGATCAAATAGTGCAAGAGGGCCGCCTCTGACTCCGTCCATGATATTAAATGATGACGGACCCCATCTGAAAGTAAAATATGTAAAAATGGAAATATAAGATAGTGTACCATGAATTTCAGACCATAATTGGAATAGCTGTTTTTGAGGGCCGTATCCCCGCGGATTTATAGATAATAACTTTTGCAATCCTTGTCGGTAGATATTTTGAAATTTATACAATTATAGGTTACAAAATTCAGAGTTGCTGTTACCATAATATTCAAAGTATGTGTTAATAAGAATTTATTTAGATAGTTTGGGTTGGTTGGTTGGTTTGTTGTTTAACGCCGCACTCAGCAATATTCCAGCTATATGACGGCGGTCTGTAAATAATTGAGTCTGGGCCAGACAATCCAGTGATTGACATCATGAGCATCGATCCACGCAATTGGGATGGATGACATGCATCAACCAAGTCAGTGAGCCTGACCACCCGATCCCGTTAGTCGCCTTTTACGACGAGCATAGTCGCCTTTTACGGCAAGCAGGGGTTGCTGAAGACCTATTCTACCCCGGATCTTCACGGGTCAGATAGTTTGGGGAACAGCAGGGATAATCATAAGATTATATAGAAATGTGGTAGGTTTTAGAGTTTACTCCAATGCAATGCAGTGGCTTTTCTAATGAATGGGCATTGTTCCACTTTCAGTGTTAACAATACATGGTGATTAACAACAAAAGTGACCTGCAAAACTATTTGGAACATTCTCACATGGGGACTTTCTTACCATATCTTGTCAGCAGTTAAAAAGTACAATATTATCCGATACTTACTGTCCAATATGTAGATGGGTTTGCCCAAACATATTTCCTGCATAATTTAGGTACCCCAAGGGAAGAGTAGACGCTTGAATTTCGAATCCGGGAAAACCAGATATAGTGTAGTTGCTGTTGGTGGCGGTGTTGTTGGCTCCGTTGGTGTAACGCTGTCGCGGTTGGTGAAAACATGAAGACAAATGGTAATTGTGTGAATGTTGTTTAACGCCGCTCACATTAATATTGCCGCTTCTTGGCGGGGGTCTGTAAATAACTGAGTCTGGACCAGAGTCTGGAGCCAGTGATTGACGTCTTGAGCATCGGTCTGCGCAATTGGGATACAATGACATGCATAAACCACGTCCGCGAGTCTGACCACCCAAACCGTTAGTCGCCTCTTACGACCACCATAGTCTGGGCACCTAGCCAAACTCGGATTTTCACAGAAACGTCTCCATTGAAATGCAGAAATATGCATGGTTGATGGTATGCTCAAATACGTTTGTTCCGATTTTAAAAATGCCAGCTATACTAGGAAAATTTAGGAGGGATCCCCAATGACGTCACCAGGCGGTTTACGTTTGCCATAAGAAGACGGGCAGTGTCTTGCATGAATGGTGATTCCTGTGCAAGACTGAAGCTACAAAGTTTGTTTTTGGCAGGAACAGCTTTATTATATCACATCCGATGTGAGCTGAAAATATTTTGTTTCTTATTTATAAAGATGAGTCAGTGTACTTCATGAAGTGACGAGGATTACTATTAGTTTCTTCAGCTATGTGTTTTTACCTGTTTGAAGCCGACATAGAGCTGGAATAAACAACAAACAAACAAACAAACCTGTTTGAAGAGCATGAACGGTATGGCGGGATTGTTGTAGGTGAAGATGCTTTTATCCGGTGTGTACTGTACAAAGCTGGCCTCGATCTGACTGGACCCTGCCTGGTACAGGAAGCTGTTGGACTGCCACTGCCCAATAAAGTCCACACCACTGGACAGAGTGTTCTTGACCAGCTTCAGTGACCCATCAGCTGTGGTGAAGACTTTACCGTCAGATCTGAAGAAGATGGGAGCGCTCTTCAGCCACACGTCTCCCTGGACAACGACGTTGTAGGTGCCGTCGCTGTTGACGTTCACGCCAAAATCCTGTATTCCCTCAGTGCATAGTGTCACTGCTGAAATGACAATCGTGCATATATTTTATGTATCTTCGACGACAGAAACTTTTCTTAAGGATGTACTTTTCCTTTTGTTACTTTCTTAAGGGGATCAACAACAACATACACATATTTTTCGGGTGATATTGAGGCCAAATATTTCTTTCCGGGTATTTCCAAAGCTTTGGGTCTTCATCAACCCATGCTTGTCGTAAGAGGCGACGGACGGGACCGGGTGGTCAGGCTCGCTGACTTGATTGATGCATGTCATCGTTATTGCGCTGATCGATGTCCAAGTTGTCAATCACTGGATTGTCTGGTCCAGACTCGATTATTTACAGACCGCCGCCAAATAGCTGGAATGCTGCGTTAAACAACAAAGATTATGAAACGGACACTAAAACCAACTGAGGAATCTGCGATTCATGCCACATCGTGATGGCAACAATAGTGCGTCTTTATTGAGATAAACACTGTATTAAGAGACAACTAAAACATAAAGAAGAAACAGGTCTCACTTTCGCAAGAACGTTCCTGAAATATAAGAGAGGAGATTAATCTAAATGACAGGACCGATGTGGTTGAGGGGACGTGATACGGAGGAATTCGAAGGGTGTCGTAATGCTCAGCTGGCCACCAATCTGTGATAGTTGCATCGAGGGATCAAGATTGCCTATACGTATTACTTCAAGTTATCATTTAAATTCCACAAATTGTCATGCGGAATAAGTCACAGAAATGATCTAATTGATAGTCAACCCAGAACAAGCAAGCACTTACTGACACAGAAGCACAAACACAGGACCCCACACACCCGGTCCTTGGTAAACATCTTGAAACGCCGTTGAATCACCAACATCCGCGATGCTCAATGGGCGCTGGATGTTATACACACCAGGCCGTGCACTATCTCTGTACCTCCCTGGGATGAATGACCTGATATTACTGTCCGAATATCTATGGACTATATGTCAAGGTTGTTGGCACGTGTGATCATTATCAGTTAACGTGTTAAATATCCCAAGCCATGTCTACACACGTCGCAAGTAACTTGTGTAAAACCAACGTGTCTAGGAGTAAGGTGTATTCTGTAAGCAATATCTCAACTGCAAACAGTCAATCCTGGTCCAGACAAACAAGTGGTCGATGGTATGAGCACACCATCGGGGACGAGAACTTTGATAAGGATAGGCGACAGGGGGGTGGGGGGCTACTGTGACCCGATATCTATAATAAGGCAAGAGTTAAGCAATGGTTCACAAGAGGTAGGTTACATTGTCTGTGGAGGTGAAATAGTAAGTGAATCTGAGTACATATTTTCTTCTGAGATTCATTCATACGAAACAGCGACAGCGCCTGGACGTGCCATCAGTCTTCACGTCGCCGACTACAACAGCATGATATCAGGGCCTATCGCCCATTTAGAGGCATGACATCGACGAGGCAACATCGACTTCGGGGTTAACATTCGGCTCGTCAAGTTCACCGTCGGCAACTGGCAACTGGCAATGTGAGGTCTTGTGTACTTGTCCAGCTGATCAGGGCCGACTTCAGGTCATGGTATCAACCGATGTGGCCCGTGAATCTGACGCCGTTTCCATCCTCCGCCCAACAGAGATCAGATTGTACAGCCATTGGTGGAAGAATTTAGCCGACGTCATATGCCCGCTTGCATGTTTACATGTGTAGGACATACACACTGCTGAATCACTGATATTCATTCAGTAACAGTTATGATCATATCTATACACACGCCTTTCTTAGTGTTGTTCAATAAAATCATTATGTACCCCTAGTGTTTGAAAACTGTGATGTTGACATATGATGGTAAGCTTTGTGTATATCAGTATGTATATATCGTCAAACGATTTTGTTTTCGAAATAGGCTTCCTCCCTTCCTTCCTTGCTAAAAGAGGCGTAAAACCATACTCACTCACTCATTAGTAAGTGGGTGTGTCAACTTTTATACTGTAGACGAACTGGTAAGATTGGTTGGTTGGTTGGTTGGTTGATTGTGTTACGCCGCACTCAGCAATAGTCCAGCTATATGACGGCGGTCTGTAAATAATCGAGTCTGGACCAGATAATCCTGTGATTGACATCATGAGCATCGATCCACGCAATTAGGATCGATGACATGCATCAACCAAGTCAGCAAACCTGACCACCCGATCCCGTTAGTCGCCTTTTACGACAAGCATAGTCGCCTTTTACGACAAGCATGGGTTGCTGAAGACCTAATCTAGGGGACTGACTCGCTCACTGACGTTGTTAAATAGAGTCGAAACACTCACTCACTCACTCACTGGCGTTGATAATAGGGAATTCACTCACTACACACTGAGGTTAATATATGATTCACTCATTAACTCTCTCACTCACCGGTGTTGTTAATAGAGAATTCACCCAATCGCTGGTGGTGTTAACGGTGGGAATTAAGAGAATCTTTCATTTTGTGCCACTTACATAGCTGACCAGGCAAATTTAATGTGCAAATTTAGTACGCGGGCTTGTCTTCCGTGAAGCAGAATGCCTTATAACTGTGGAATATCAATTGCCAAACGAACTTGGTCCTGTCAATACAACACAGTTGTTTGCGCATTGTCCAATTAAAAGACCATGTGGTGTATATGGCGTACCAATACTGCGTGGACACTGTTCACGTGCTCCTTCTCCTGTGACAATCAGTACGAGCGAGAGAAACATAGTGATATTTATTTATTAATTTAAACAAAGACTACAGCGACATGCAAAGTTCACAAAACACTACAAAGTGAAAAAAGGGCAGATCCAGGTTTCAGTAGAGGTAATCTGGGATCAACCATCAATTTTGGAGGAGTTTGGGGGGTGAGTTTTGGTTGGTGAGAGACACTGGGAACTATTCAAAACATACGTCCTCAAACAAATACCCCGTCATGTTTCTTGTCTCAAATTCTCTATGTCTTAAATGAATCGGGTGGACTAGCTCCATTTCGCGTCATCATCGTTGACGTGAATGTTGCTCATGACATCAACCACATGTTTGTCTGGCCAAGTCGCGATTATGTACAGACCGCCTTGACATAGTTTGAATATGGCCTACTGGAGCCTAAAATGACAAACAATCAGTACATAGTACAAAAACAAACATCGGGAGGAAGTATGTTTGACCAGTAGTGTAAACAACAGAATCACATTTATTCCAGCTTCAATCTTATGTTCATTATACAGCACGACATGCACCAGCTATGAAGCTAAGGATTGCTTGACCGCCTGGCCCGAGAGTACAGGTCAAAGGTGAGGAGACACCGTCCACGTTGAACCAGAACTGGACAGTTTCGCGGGCAGCTCCAGTGAGACTGATGGTGATGTCGTCTGCAACGTTGATGTCCGTCACTCTCTGCGGCGACATCGGCACCCATTTGTCCAACTCACCCTGGATCAGCACTTGTTTGCTGTAGGGAGAGAAAGTCAGATCAACAACAATACCTTAGTATATTCGGAACTGTTTGAGTGACAACCATTGTTTAACGTCAGGAATATTCCTCCGATGATATCACGGAGCTGTTTGAGTGACCCATGTAACATTCCTGACAGGATATCACGGAGCTGTTTGAGTGACTACTTTTGTGGGACGTCAACAATATTCCTGTTAGGATATCAAAGAGCTGTCTGAGTGATTCCTTTAGTCTAACGTCTGTAATATTCCTGATAAGATATCAAAGAGCTGTTTGAGTGATTCCTTTAGTTTAACGTCTGTAATATTCCTGATAAGATATCAAAGAGCTGTTTAAGTGATTCCTTTAGTTTAACGTCTGTAATATTCCTGATAAGATATCAAAGAGCTGTTTGAGTGATTCCTTTAGTTTAACGTCTGTAATATTCTTGATAAGATATCAAAGAGCTGTCTGAGTGATTCCTTTAGTTTAACGTCTGTAATATTCCTGATAAGATATCAAAGAGCTGTTTGAGTGATTCCTTTAGTCTAACGTCTGTAATATTCCTGATAAGATATCAAAGAGCTGTTTGAGTGATTCCTTTAGTCTAACGTCTGTAATATTCCTGATAAGATATCAAAGAGCTGTTTGAGTGATTCCTTTAGTCTAACGTCTGTAATATTCCTGATAAGATATCAAAGAGCTGTTTGAGTGATTCCTTTAGTCTAACGTCTGTAATATTCCTGATAAGATATCAAAGAGCTGTTTGAGTGATTCCTTTAGTCTAACGTCTGTAATATTCCTGATAAGATATCAAAGAGCTGTTTGAGTGATTCCTTTAGTCTAACGTCTGTAATATTCCTGATAAGATATCAAAGAGCTGTTTGAGTGATTTCTTTAGTCTAACGTCTGTTATATTCATGATAAGATATGACGGAGCTGTTTGAGTGATTCCTTTAGTCTAACGTCTGTAATATTCCTGATAAGATATCAAAGAGCTGTTTGAGTGATTCCTTTAGTCTAACGTCTGTAATATTCCTGATAAGATATCAAAGAGCTGTTTGAGTGATTCCTTTAGTCTAACGTCTGTAATATTCCTGATAAGATATCAAAGAGCTGTTTGAGTGATTCCTTTAGTCTAACGTCTGTAATATTCCTGATAAGATATGACGGAGCTGTTGGTGTGAGTAATGTTGTTTAATGTCAGCAATACGTATCCCTTCAGTGTTTTAACGGAGCTGTTTATGTGAGAAATGTTGTATAATGGCAGCAACATCCCTTCATGGTTTTCATGGAACAATTGAGGAATAGTCCTGCTTTGCTAACGGAAATGTTTGTGTGATCAATGTTGTTTAAAGATTTGTTACTCAGCTGTTTCACGAAACTACACTTTGTTATTTTATTTGTTTGTTGTTTAACGTCACATACATCATTATTCCAGCTATATGACGGCGGCCTGAAGGTAATAGTCTAGACCAGACAATCCAGTGACTGATATTATGATCAACGCTGTCGACGTACTATGCCACACAATGGACCGAACTGATCACCGACCGATTCTGCCGCCTATTACAAGCCTAAGCTGTTGGGTCTCTTATCTAATCCCATATCACCATGAGAACTAAACTGTAGTAACACACGTACCCATTAATCTTCAGTACCGGGGATACATAGAAGAGACAGAAGTCCTTAGCGGTGCAGCCACTCATAGTCAGAGGCTGGGGATCAGTCAGAGGCTGGATCTTACTGGGATCATTGGCCGGGAATACCATCGAGTAGGGAAACTGGAAATACAACAGTGACAATGTTCAACATAAAGGGGCACAACTGTTGACATACTGCAAAATCAAAAATAGCTGTAGTTCAAGTTGTTTCAAGACATTTTCACCAGGTAAACTATCAAGTCACAGATGATGACGACCCAACCTCTATTTCAGGGTGTTCTGAAGATAATTAAGGGAAACTCACCCGGAATCTCCACTGAGCTGAAACCTGAGAAACTTTTCTTCCATTATCAGATTTCTTTGAAGCCTTACCCCCTGGAATCCAGCCATGCATGGTGTCATGGTGTAGCTTCCCTGCAGATCAGCGGCAAGGATGATGCCGTACTTGTTCTTGTCCCCGAAATCTGAATACGTGGACCACACCTCCCCGTCTGGACCCACAAAGTCTGGCCAAGCCCACTGGGAAAACAAGCTTTGTGCATGAGATAATATGAAATGTATTTTTTACCATTTCCACAAGTTAAAATACATCTTAGTTGAAAGATTTCTACTTTAAGCGCATATTTTATCCCTCATCTCCCAGCCTTGCCGAGTCTGGGCTCACAATGTAAGACTCTCAATTTCAAAGATCTTACTGTTATGGTGGAAACATTAATTTCATATGCAGCGTCAACGCATTATGCACATTATGTTTTTGTCCCTACGTCATCAGTGTACTTTACTTCAACAATGTTTATTGCATTTTCTAATGTAATACCTGTGAAACTAA